GAAGAGCGTGCAGTTTTCCAAAAAGAAAGTCAAAGCATTTTGAAAGTGTGAAATGCAGGACTGCAATTAACAGATATTAACAATCTGCTTATTAAGGCTAATCAGTAAGCCATGACTCATAAGCATTTGAAGATTTTATGTTCATTGCTTCAAGCAGGAGTACATGCTCACATTTTAAAAAGTAATTTCCAGTGCTGAGTGTGATCCAAGATAAACATTCATTTCAGTTGAAGTATGGGGCTTTTTTTCATTTTGCCCCTTCTGCAATTTTTATTTTGCAATGGTATTTTCCTTTATTTTCAAATTAAATTTTTCTCTCAATAGGAAAGGTTGGAATGTTTTTGAGACCCTGAAGTTATTTTTCAGATTTGTTTTACAAGTTACAAAAATTGTTGGAGTTAACTTTACTTGACGTGATTGGATCATGATTGTACTTTGCACAAACATCTTTTTTCGCCAGCCATATCTTATCTCAGAACTGTGGAGTTCCATTTGCCATATGGCAGAAAAAAATTTTAGCAGAACCTAGACTTTTGACAGTGCTTTTGCATTACACAAGGGCACAGATTTGACATGGAAATATACTCAGATTAGATCTCAGAGCAACTCACCGGTCGGATCGGGTATGACTCTTCAGCATAAAGTCTGCTGGCTAAGCTGAGTGAGTAATTGTCACTTCGTTTGATGATTTGGTTGAATATGTCTTGAATTGAAGAGTGGACACTTGCAGATTTGGGACACTGAATCATCAGCAAGAATACAAATAAAAAGACAGATGATGTTATCCTAGTTTTAGTAGTTAGTAGGTTTTTCATACTGTATCAGAAGAGTACAGTAGTTCAGATACTCCTGCTTACAAAATTGCTCTTCATCCTGTATGTCTTGTTACTGCAATGACACTGCTGTGGTAATTCTCTAATATGTACAATTCTGTGCTGTTTTGGGTTTTTTTTACTGAAATTTTCTCATACCTTTTTCAGGGGAACTCTTAATTACCCACTACAATACTCTAGCTCCAGCAGATCAGGTAGGCTTTCCTCCATTTAGCCAGTAATATCCAGCTACCTTGCCCAAGCATACAAATGTCTAGAATTTTTCCTTTTTTTTTTCCCAGTATAGTGGTCTGGGTTTCATCTTATGCTTGTTCTGAATCCTCTGTCACCTTTCTTCTCCATTCTTATGAATAAAGTGTTCCCTCAACTACTGGATGCAGAGCACTAGCTGCTCATTGAAGAAGGGTTGAACTATGAAAATACCTCTTTATCTGCTAGATTTTGCTCCTAGGAGAAACTGACACAGAGAAGAAATTATTTCTGTACCTGAGATTCAACAATCTCTCCAAATCCTGGGATTTTATCAAAGGGAACAACCTGTAATTGAAAAGAACCATAGCTGAAATAACAGGTATGACCAAAAAAAAGGCTACACAACTGAGATTTATACATGATATTTGAAGTAAACTTATTGGCTAACTGAGAAGCTGGTCTGGCTCAAAAAGTGCAATCCATCTGTGAATAGCTGGGCCTACTGTTGCCTGCTTAGATCTCTTTTTCTGCTAAACATCTAGAAATCAACTCATGTATGTGCTATTAATAATACCAACTTTTTGCCAGGTAGTAAGCCAGCCACTCTCTATGAAGGAAGTGAGAGCTGCAGGAAACTCATGGAAACTATTTTGCGGTCTGGAAACATGTTTTGGCTCTTTCTCTGGAGATTTTATCTACCTTCCTTACTCTAAAAAAAGGAGCTCTGGAAAGTATTGTTCTCCTTGAGAATCCTACTGCTAACAATGATAAAATTATAAATTTAATCCAGTTTCAAGATTTCTGGCTGATGCATTTGTTTAACACTATGGGAGTTCGAGGTGGCCACAGCTTTTAATAGCTCTGGACCCAGATTTTTTTGCCTCTGAGCTATGCAAGGGACATTATTATGTAATTAAGTTCTGTGGCTCTATTGAGCAGCAGGAAGGTTTAAATCTTTAGTTGTAGCCTCACCTTTTCTATTTGAGCTCTGGTATCTTCTTTTGCACCTAGATAGACCAGGGACAGAGCTGAAATGATGGTCATAGGGGAGAAAATAATGTTCTCATTGACATGCTGGACTTTCAGCTCCTTGAATATGTCCAAACAAAATTCAGCACTTGCTGCTCCAATGGAGCCCATTGTGAAACCTGTATTGTCTAGAAGAAACAACAGAAATAAAATGACAATGTAGTGAAGGAATACCATTCAAACCCAGTGCAATGCATTTTAATAGGACTTCTTATCCACTGACAGATAAAGTAGTTTTGAAGTAATTCTGTGGTAACATGACTCTCGTGCATGTTAGAAACTCTATATTTATAAATCCATTTCTTTCTGCATTTGTGTTCAGTTGCCTTTTTGACAGTAAAGTTCCTCAAAGGTATTAAATTTGTATGATTTCTTTTTATCTTTTTTAAGCAGTCAGACAACAATTGCCTGTTGAATTTTCTTTCAGTGAAGGCTAAAATTCATTGGAATCTTTGTAGTACCTCTAAGGAAAACAAGAAAATAAGATCTATCTTTGAGGTACTTGGAAAGCTGAAAATTTCAAGTGCAAATTTTAGTATATTTGTTCTAGGTTTGGACAAATATAAGTGAAAGCAGAAACTGGCTAACTATTTTTATTTTCTAAAAATAAGTAAGTAAAATATCTATTTGTTGTTCAGTATTTCCTGTCAGTCGATCTTCAAAAGCTTGTATCTTTACCCTTGTTTTAGTAATGAAAGCATGGATAAGCAATATAATTTGTTCTAAGGTCACCTAGTCTAGGAGAGAGTGATGCAAAAATTTCACACTTTACGCTATTGTGCTTTCAGATATAGCTTTCTTTTGATGAAATATATCTGTATAAATACTACACTATAATCCTTCTGACAAACTGAATTTTGTTAGTGACATTCAGATAGAACAGAAATGCAGACATGATAAAATAGCGATGTCTACCATCATGCAGCACTGTTAAATGATTGTTAGTGACTGTGCTTGTGAGTATACACATACACTCACACACACGTTTCTCTCACTTTCTGTATACAAGTTCACTTTTATAGATCATTGTAAAAACGTCTGTGCACCCACACACATTTTTACCTGGTATAGTGTTTACCATCTGTATTTTCTTCGGGTGCAACTGTTAGAGAAGTTTCACACTAAAATAAATCTAGCAAATTCACTGAATGCCACAATGTTGCTCTCAGTACACTATTGAACCAGAGGTTAATCAAACTTATTCATTGCTGCCAAAATGAAACTTAAAAGATAGTGAACAAGATGATAAACTGCTCTGAAATAAAATAATATTTTAAGCACAAACGATATTTTTTTTAAGTCTCCTGAAAACAAATGCTCAAATTTAATACATAATAAAATAGTGCAGAATGCATACACACAGGTGAGAAAGATTTGTAGAGAGTATCATGTAAATATTCTGTTCTTAAAGATACCAAGTACAACACAAAAATGGCATGAATGATAAACAACTTAATTTTTCCTGGAGAAACACTTACCTTTGGAGCTACAGCACCAAAAGCAATACAGCTTTCCAGCTGTATGTAGGCAGACTGGCTGAGCCGTTGGGAATTTATACAGTCTGAATTGTGAGCCACCCACTGCTGCCCTCCAGAAGTTTGACCTTTGACACCATAAAAATAATGTAATGGGATTACATCAGATTTTAGTTTCAATGGATCCACTTCTGATTGAAGGGAGAGCAAATATTTGTTTGTTATTCTGTATAACAAAGTGTTTTTTACCAGTATGTCAAGACTGCTGGACTGGGGAGAAGACTGAGAAATGATGCTTATCTTTTAAGACTCATTTGCAACTAGATACCAGGATGTTAATAAATGTATAGAATCTGAACACCTTAGTGATGGAAAACATAATTAGTAGTTGTTAGTCTATCTGTCATTAATTAGCCAATGTGTTATTATGGTTGTAGTAACAAACCAGAAATCTCTTTCAATTAATCCTTTTTGAATGTACAACAGGACTTGGCCTATTACTCTACTAACAAAACTTTGGAAATGAAGAAGGGTGCCTGTGAGAAAATAAATTAAGATGAAGGTCAAAATCAGGTACATTATCTTTGAAAATGTGGGATATTTTTAAAAATCTCATTCAATGCACATGAAAGTTTTATAGCAAACTATTTTATTTTCAGGGATTAATAGCAAAACGCAGCCTCAGACAAAGTCAGTAGCAGTCAATTCCAAATTGCACTTGTGATGCATCTCTCAGATCTTCTGTGGGTAACTTAATGGCCTGGCAGATGACACAGAAACTATGAAATCCAGCTAAAGGAGTGTTCATGGTCTGTGGGACAATCATAATATACAATAGCGAATATATTTCAGTTATAAAAGCATTTCAGTTATAAAAGCTATTGTTCTGTATTGAAATAATAGAGTGAACAAATAGTAAAGGAACCATTCTGACCTCTTTAAAGCACTGTGTAATTTTTAAAAGGGAGGCGGGAAATCCTGAAGTCAATATGACATAATTCTTCACAACATTTAGGGAAATGACTGTGATCTCTATTAAGGGTTAGAGATAGGCTCTCGTACTGGTGTCAGAAGTTTAAACAGCACAGTTTTCTCTGCTTCCTTTTGTGAAAATAAACATACCACAGAAAATATAATCTCCTTGCTGAGCTGTTGTCACAAAGACAGTCTGAGGACTTAAGCAAGACAAGATGGTAGCAGAAGTGTAATTTTTTGTTCAATCTCTACTCCACAGGTGTCAGCCAAGTGTTTTGGTTTGGTTGTTTTTTCTGTTTTCCCACAGATAGTCTGACAGATACATTATCTATACTTACACACAGAATTATTCTTCTTACTTGTTTTTAAAGTCAGACTGTTGGTTCTGTTTCGGCCTGTAAGAAAGTCTAAAAAGCTTGTCTGCTTTTTCTGGTGATAGAAGTGCTTCTCAGAAAACGTTATCCCTACCTATGAAACCTGCTAGTGTGTTGACCGAGAAAGGGAATGGAGAACGAGTCTCCCAACTGTGTTATTAATCAAAATCTCCACCATCTGCTCAATCAAACACCAATGATGAGTTTTGTATCTGTATTCTACGTAGGTCTTTGTATCTCTTTACTAATCAGTATACAAATCAATGTAGACCAGGTGGTCCAGCCACACTGGTGAAGTAACAATTAAAAGAAAGACAGCTTTGCCTCTCAGTGAGGCAAGAACCAGTCAGCCAGGTGCTGGAGAAGACCTCCAGCCTAAAAAGATGCTTCCAAATACATTGGAGAGTTAAGACAGGGCTACCATAGCTGAGAAGAATGGCTGAAGATCTCCTTGACAGAATGCAGTATTAGTAGGAAAATTTCAGTCTTTCTAGAGGCCTGGTCTGAGAATGTCACATGGATACAGCCAGGGGACTGGGCAGCTCAGCTAGTGCCTCAGCTCCTAACGAACCCTCCCGTGCATTCAAAGGGAGAGCAGCTGTAAGGGTGATCAAGCCTTATGAAACTAGGAGAATACAGTGCTTTTTTAGTGGAAACTCTCAAGGAGAAAAATCTATCCTTGGGTGAGTGGGCAGATGGAGGATCCTGAATAATTTCTGTCTTATGACACTACAGAAAAGGGGTGAGTTATCCACTATGGCCAAAACTGTCAGGCATTTTGTCTGAGCAAACACCAGGTCAGGTGAGTAAAGGCAAGGTGTTTCCAAAGTAACCCTGGTATATATTAGTAAGCTTTTTTTTTCTTTAATTTTTAAATGACATACATTTTTATGGATACAGGTCAGTGTTGCCTCCTTTAGATGTTATGAATAAATCCTTTTATTAAGACTTTCAGGATTGAGACTGGGACTGGTGGTATTTAACGTCTTTGTTGGCAATATGGACAGTGGCATTGAGTGCAGCCTCAGCAAGTTTGCTGATGACACCAAACTGTGTCATGAGGTTGACATGCTGGAGAGAAGGGAAGCCATCCAGAGAGACCTTGACAGATTTGAGACGTGGGCCCATACAAACCACGTGAAGTTCAACCAGGCCAAGTGCAAGGTTTTGCATCTGGGGCAATCCCAACCACAAATATACGCTGGGTGGAGATGGGAGCAAAACCAGCCCTGAGTAGAAGCACTTGAGGGTGTTGGTTGATGAGAAGTTCAACATGAGCTGACAATGTCCATTTGCAGCCCAGAAAGCCAACTGTGTCCTGGGCTGCATCAAAAGAAGCGGGGCCAGCAGGTCAAGGAAGGTGATTCTGCCCCTCTACTCTGCTCTCATAAGACCCCACCTAGAGTACTGTGTCCAAGGACATGAAGCTTCTGGCTTCAGAGGAGGGCCATGAAGATGATGGAAGGGCTGGAGCACCTCTGCTATGAAGACAGGTTGAGAGAGTTGGTTTTGTTGAGCCTGGAGAAGGCTCTGGGGAGACCTCATAGCAGCCTGCCAGTACCTGAAGGGGGTACAGGAAAGCTGGGGAGGGACTTTTTACAAGGACATGTAGTGAGATGACAAAGGGTAATGGCTTACAACTGCAAGATTAAACATTAGGGGGAAGTTCTTCACTATAAGGGTGGTGAGACCGTGGGCAACCTGCCCAGTGAAGTTGTGGAGGCCCCATCCTCCTCCATTCCTTGAGCATGGGGCTTTGTGCTACCTGGTCTAGTGGGAAGTGTCCCTGCCCATGACAGGATTCTATGATAACCTGTCTTAAGAGTGGTGAATAACAACAGGATGTTTCTTACCCATTAGTTTGGTGTAGCAGTGAGCCAAGGCATTGGACACTTAAACAAGTACCCACATTCTCTTTTTTATATCCACTTGCACAGTAGGTCTCCATTTCATTTTTGTAGCTCAGGAGGTGAGGTGATACCACAGATACCAGAAGAGGCAGAAGTGCTTTCTTGTGCTAGGTGGCCAGAAGAATATATGGCACATAATAAAATACTGGGAGGTGTGCCTGTACCCTGAGAGTCACAGGAAGTGTAAAATGTGTCTAACGTGAGTTTCAGGCTCAGTACACATCCACACCAAGAAAAGACGTGGAGGATAAGAAGCTCTGCTTTGGCAGTGGATGAGAAAGACATGCAGTGCTCTTTCCTAGAGACCTGTTTTGATTTTCTGTGCCCAAACCCATAATTAATGCCAGGCCAGTTGTGAACAATAGAATCTACCCATG